GAGGTAAAGCGCGTAGGTTTCAGAACTCAGAAGGGTGCATGAGAAGGGATGGGGTGAGTGGCAGGGAGGGGAGTTAGGAGGCTGTTCAGGGAGGTAGTGGGCTAGGACAGGACCAGGAATGGGGCTGCGCTAGATGGAGGGACGCGGAGAGGAACCTTGCAATCCCCCAGAGGCCTCTCCTCCCCTTTGTTCCTTTCTGGCCTACCCCTGTGGCAGGGACCCAGACCTTTTGGGGTTTGCTGGGAGATTTTCCTGAACAGTAACTGCTGGAAAGACGAATGTGGCAGATTTGGGGCAGTTCCCCTCTCTGAGTCTGAGCCCAGCCTCTGGGTGGCTCTGGTGGACACCCACAGAACTGGAATCACCCTCACCCATGGCACCCCCTCCCTGTCAGCCTCCCCTGTGCTTTCCTGGGCCAGTCCCCCACTGAGATTCTGCCTGGTTCTTTCTTCCCCATACCCAGCCTTCCCAGAATGATCAAGGCAACAGCAGGTGCTCGGGCCAGGAGTCCGGGAGTTTGGGGGGATCTGGAAGAGCTCTGGGCTGGGTGTAGAGACATGGGTCTCCCGTCACCCTCGTGATCCTGGGCAGACCTTGCCTTCCCTGAGACTCATTCTCCTTATGTGTAAGAAGAAGGGGCTGGGCCGGCGCTTCTGTGGGGCCCTTTCTTGCACACAGTTCTGGGTTCTAAGACCAATTAACTCGGTCTTGGAGGGAGCTCAGGGTCTATATCTTGGCCTTGTCTGTTTTCCCAGCTCACATCCAAGCAAAGGTAGAGGCAGGGCTTCCCCCTCAGCAAGCCCACCTACCCCACGGTGGAGGAAAGGGAGGAAAGAGTGGGTTCCAGGAGCAGCAAGTAGAGAAAGTGTGGGTTCAAGTCCTGGCCCTGCCTGGATTGCTGAGTGACCTCCAATGAGGTTTCTGCCCTCTCTGGGTAGGATCCCTCTTTCCTGTGGCGGTGCTCTAGGTGCCCGGATGGGCCTTTGGGGAGAAGACTTGAGGGACAGAACACACTCCTTTGTCTCCACAGAGGTGCCGGCAGAGGCCAGGGAAGGAGGAAGCCGTGTGCATCGAGGCGTGAAATGAGCCCGTGTAAATCCCATGTAAATGAGCCGGCGGGGAGGGGCATGCGGGGCACAAGCCTCTTGTCCTGTTTTCTCCCAATGGGCAAGAAGCACAGTGGGCCTTGGATGGCGGTGGACCATCAGGACCATTCGGCTGGGCCTGGAAGCATGGAGATCCACCTGATATCATGGCACCAGCATCAGCCTCTTGGGGGCCAGCCTGGGGCCAGGAGCCAGGCCTGGCTTTCCGTCTTCTTTCCTGTGCATCGCTTCCTGCCACCAGAGGGGAAGAGGGGATCTGGCAAAATAAGGAGTTGAGACTATGAAAGACCAAGGCTCAGCTCTCCTGGGGAAGGGAATGGGGAACTCGTTTATAACTACAGGGCCATTAAGGTTTACCCCGGAGGCGGAGGAGGCGAGTAGAGGCAGGGTGTCTGCCTCCCTGCCCCCCTCCCCTCCTGTCTCCCTTGGGGAAAGATCACTGCCTTCTAGTTTCTCTGCTGCTTGATGTCCTTGACTCTCTATTTACAGCCCCACACACCCCTGTCTTCTCTATCCTCATCACCCTCAGTCCCCTACCCACCTTTGCTGGAAACACTGTGATTTCGCTCTTGTGAATCTCTCCCCTTGAATGCCAGGAGTAGGGCGATCTCAGGCAAGGATTTCAGAACGACTTCAGAGGAGTCCTGAACCACCCTCTCTACCCGCACCACGAATGCCTAGGCCTGCTGGGTCCTGAGCTGCGGGTTGGGGAGGGGGCAGATGGAGCCTTCGGGTGAGTGCAGCTGGAATCAGACCCTGGGGTCCTGGCTATGGAAGGCATAGCACCTGCCCCTGAGACCCTCCCAGCCTGATAGGGGAGGCAGAAGTGGGGCTGGAGGGTGAAAGTGCAAGTGATGGTCCTAGGAAGAAGGTACCCAACCTATGGTGGGGTGGGGGTCAGGGAAAGTTTTGAGTGGGCCTTGGGGGATGAGTAGAACTTCCTAGGGTAGAGAAGTCACTGAAGAATGGAAGAGCATTTGTGAAGGCCTGGGGTGTGCAAGGGCCTGGAGTGTCGTGGGCTTGGCTAGAGCAGTGTGAGCTCCAGGAAGGCCGGGAGACTTTTGTCAGTTTGGGTCACAGTGGCATCTCTAGCACCTAGGACAGTGACTGCAACACATCTTGTTGAATCCATGAATAAGATAAAAGAGGAGAGAGTATCTGGAACTGGGGCGGAATGACTGTTGGTGCCAGCTCCTGAGAGCTAAGGCCTTTGATCTTCACCCTGAGGGTTCTAGGGAGCCATTAAAGGATTTTGAGCAGAGGGTGGGTGTTGAGGACTATAATGATGATAAGGG